AACATAATTTCTTTAAAGGCCGAAGGCAAATTTGGATTGGAATTAGGATCGTTAATTAGAACAGAAAGATTTTTATGAATGTGAAATGCTTCTAGAAAATCCAGTTCTCCAATGGAAGATGTTTTTTGAATAATTTTGGCAGCAGAAAAATTGAAAGTGTGATTTTCGGACCAACGATGTTGAGCAACAGAAGACTTCTGTGTTTCCATTTTTCTAACATATGCCTCATGTTCCTTGACGCGAAATTTTAAGGCTCTCTTAGTTTGGCCAATGTAAATTAAACCACACTGGCAAGGAATCCTATAAATACCCCAGGAATTCATATCCGGAATGGGGTCCTTGAGTATGGAACTCGGAATTTTATTGATGGGAGAATAAACAACCCGAAAGTTAAATTTCTGCAAAATATGTGCAACTTTATAGCTAATTGATGGAAAGAAGGGAATGACAAAAGAATTTTTATAATCTCCTAAAACAAGAGAGTGACTTTTAGTGTGTTGAGATGAGAATTTTTTAACTGCTTGATTAATAATGTTGGGTGAAAAGCCCCTATCAATAGCTATTGCTTTTAAATAATTTAGTTCTTCATCAAGGGCTAGTTTGGAGGAGCAAACTTGAAGAGCATGGAAAACATAGGAATAAAATGAAGCTAACTTTTGTTTAGTCGGATGACATGATTTAAAGTGTGGTGGAAGGCAAACCGATGAAGGTTTACGGTAAACTGTAGTACTGAAGTTGGATGTGTTACGTGTGACCAGAATGTCGAGAAACGGAAGAGAATTGCAAGTCTCAAGTTCAAAAGTGAACTGAATAGCAGGATCAATAGAATTCATTGTTGAAAGAACTTTATTTAAATCATTTTTATTACCTTCAAACAGGGTAAAAGCAGGGTCTACGTAGCGGAACCATGCCGGGAAGTTTAAAGATTCAAACAATTTTGATTCATAATAATGCATGTAGATATCAGCCAGGATGGGACTGAAGGGGCTTCCCATGGCTAATCCCTCAGTTTGCTTGTAATATTTATTTTGGAAAACAAAATGTGTTTGTTTCAAACAGAGTTGAGTGACAGAAATTAGCTCGATGAAAGAGAAATGAAATTCGCAAAGTCTGGTTTCTAGACATCTTAATGCACCCTCCACTGGGACATTGGTGAATAATGATTTTACATCAAAAGAAACCATGAGTAAATTACTAGGAGAAATGTTTTTAAGCTTTTTTACAAACTCTATTGAATTTTTTATGGTGTAAATATTATTGTCTAATAGAGTTGAAAATCTAGAACTAAATATTTAGCTAATGGATACGAGGCAGTACCTAAATTTGATACAATAGGGCAGGAAAGAAATACCACTTTTATGAATTTTGGGAAGAGCATATAATCTGGCACAATTCGACAACAGATGGGAATAAGCGAATGTTTTAAGTTGCTTGAAATGATTTGCGAAGATTTGATCGCAGTTTTTATTTTTGACAAGCCGAAGGTGTGAAGATCTTTAGGGATCGGATTATATGGTCCTTCGTTTAAGAGTTTAGTGACACCATCAATGTAAGTGTTCTTATCCATGACGGACTATCTGGCCACCTTTGTAGGCCTTTGAAATGATAATATCCGGGTTAAGAGACAGAATGAATTTCGCGCATTGTAGCTCTTTCTCTCGCAGTTTAGATTTGGTTTCAAAGTACTTATTATTGAATTTCAGATTATGAGGCGATAAGATGCCTAATCATTTCTTTCTGTGAATCTGAAACTTTACTGAACTTGAAAGCTTTTTCGATAGGAGCCAAAATCTTTGGAATCGAGGGTTTACAGGTTTGTGAGAAGTTAAAATTATATTTTAGAATTCTCTCTTGTTCTTCTGAAAGACTAACATTAGAAATATTAACTATTGGCTTGATGTTTACAATGGGAAGATTTTTTGAACTACTTGAACTGGAAGACTGTAAAAGAAGTTTTTCGAATTTAATTGCAAGGGTGCTTTTATGATGGTTAACTAGCACCACTTGCTTATTCTTGTCCAGGCTTTCTTATCTTATCTAATCATAATTTCCTATCTTTTTCATTTGAGGTTTTGCAGCTGAGGATGGTGGTTAGGTAAAACCATCGAAACTAGTCCTGTGAAAATTTTGTAAATATAACGCTGATTGTTGTTGTTTGACTTCTGAATTAGTTTTGATTTGGCATGTTATTGTGTCTTAATCATATATCATTAGTTTATTTTCACTGCAATGCCAGAGCATGGATGATGCAACTTCTGTTAGAAAATTAGTTTCTAAGTTGTTTTATTCACAAATACAAAAATACTGCTTGGAGGAAGAAGCTCCTTTCAAAATTTTATTACTCTCTTCAATTTTATTACTTTTCTTCAGATATAAATCCCAGTGTGAATACTGTTTTCTTGCTCAAAAATACAACGCTGATCTAGCCTATTGAGCAAGGTTGCATTTCTGCATTTAAGGCAAATTACTTATGTGTTACATTTGCCCAGGCAATTAATACAGACTCTCAGTTTTGTGTTGATTTCTGGAAGCAATGACATTTTGAAGGGCATTAAAAATTTTTGCTGCAGACTGGGTTGGTTTAGTTGATTACAACAAAGCATACAAAAGCTAGCTTCCTAAGGGGAGGGATTCCTTCAAGGAGGACTTTCGAAGGGGAACTGGCTCTTATACACATTACACATGGGAAAAACCACAAAAACATGCACGCAGCCAGCTTGTTAAAACGAGTTTTGAACCGCATATTGAACTACCAGTGATCTGTGACTTTATCTCAGCAGCTTGGGAAAGCGTTACTATTAAGTGTAAGAACTGGATTTGGAAAATGGTTGTTAAGCGTTTTATAAATAAATTCGAATGTTTCAACAGACAGAATCATCTCCAAGGAATTCATGAAAACATTCTTAGAAATGCTAAAAATCTTTCCTTGGAATGCGAAGCTGAAGATGATGAAATTTTGCTTGCGAACTAGCTAATGATAAGTTGACTGAATTAGATGAATGAATCCAGTTTTGAGAGATTTACAAGAGAGAAATAAAATAGAAAGTAAAAGTTTATACTCTTGTCATGAAATCTATGGTGAAAAAAACAGTCCAGATGGAACTAACAATGTTTATCAAAAAGCTAATGCAAGGTATTGAGAAAGCAAGGTCTGTTACACATTGAGAGAGCAGCTGCAGCAAAATTAGTAATTGACAACGAGCAATAATGGAAGCAATTAAAAAGACATTTTCCGGCTTGAAATAAACTTTATACCTAGGCAACAATTTATTAATTGAACTTTTTTCTATTATTTGTATCAAGATACAAACGGTCAGTTGGAACTAAAGAGGAGCATAAGTCGACGATTGCTGAGCTGCAACAAAAATTTGTCAACAATGATTCATGCGTTAATTAACAGAAGCCTTTTTATAGTACATGGTTATACATCCTGAAATGTGTGGGGAAAACCCATTAGCCACACTTTTTTGTCCTTTCTCTCTCTTACAAAGTGAAACATTCAGAGTAAATTCGACATACAAGACTATTTCATGAAAAAAACAGGACCTTTCTGAGGAAAAAAGAGACAAACAACAACCCTTAGAGCAAAAGATCTTCTCTCAGTTACTGAAAAACTCTAATATAGTATTCCACCAATTTACCTCCTAAGGCAAGGGATTCCTTCAAGGAGGACTTTCGAAGGGGAACTGGCTCTTATACATGTTACACATGGGAAAAACCACGAAAACGTGCACACAGCCAGCTTGTTAAAACGGGTTTTGAACCCCATATTGAACTACCAGTGATCTGTGACTATCTCAGCAGCTTAAGAAAGCGTTACTATTAAGTGTAAGAATTTGATTTGGAAAATGGTTGTTAAGCGTTTTATAAATAAATTCGAATGTTTCGACAGAGGAAACTTTTCAAAGAGCGACTGTGTAATGCACAAAATACTAGGTGCAAGGACTAATAGGGAAATATAGCAGTTCAGCTTACAGCAGAGCCCACAACAGAACATGATTTCAAGTCATAGAATTAAATCTGGCTACAGCACATAGGTACCGTTTTCTGTGGTTCACTTGAAGAGTAATTGCGAAGACTTGACTTTCAAAGAAATTAGAGGCCAAGTGGCTAAAGCCAAGAAATACTGGTAGTTCACTATTGGTTTTATTACAGGCTGTGGAAGAGGCCAGTTATTTGGATTTCGCATGTTTTTCTCCATGCATAACATCAAATCCATGCATCCATACAACGCCCACCTTGACAATTGGGTTTATTTGATTATGGCAAAGCATGCAAGGACTATCTGCCTCAAAGAAGGGTCATTTTCGTGGAGGACTTTCTATGGCAAACTGGCTTGAATCCACATCCCATATGGAGGGAAGCCATGAAAATGGCAATGCAGGCAGCCCATTCTCTTGGAATCAAATTCAGGTCGAATTATCGTGGTTCAGCGACTTTATTGCTAGGCTGATGGTAGATCCTCGAAGAAAAATAGCCCATCCATACTTTGCTGTAATCAAACACATCGCACAAAATTCTCAACTTAGGCAAATATCTCATTCATGCTTTAATAAAATCATTTAACTAAATCATCTTACAGAACAAAGCTCTGCTATAGCTAATTTGCCTGCTAAAAATTTTCTGACTGATAATTTCAATGAATTGAGACTAAATGTTATCTTAAGACATCCCAATTTTTGTCATTTTTGTCAAATGTTTTTCTGCTTTATTTTTTTTAGAATAAACACACTTTTACTAAATGTAGTTACAGGGACTGACAAGCATATGAAAACTGAACAGTACATAATTTTTACAAAATTGATTTTTTAAATTTAAAAATGCATTGACATGAATACATGGTAAATGTTTTAAATAAGGGAATTATTTAAAACATTTTCGCAATTGAAAGTATGTGTCTATGATCAGTGGTTTCAAATAAAGGACAAAAAAATACTTTTATGAACACAGTGTTAAAACAACTGCAAATGCTTGGGGTTTTAAAAGAAAAATAGAAGGTCTAGGTAATAGTAAAAGTATTTTATTCCATAAATATTATAATTTTATAAAAATACATTTTATACAACAGCTTCACCTGTTGAAATATTTAAAGAGATCTAATCAATGCTTATATATGGCAGTAAAATGCATATTTGCATAAATCCTTTAGAAGCACTTTGGGCCTCGTAGGCTTCAGCTCCATAAATTATTAGACAATGGAAAATTATCATCCAGCTATTAAATACATTAATAATGAGTTTTAATTTATTAGTAAAATGTCCGCATGTATTTTCACAAAAAAATTTTCCCAACTTTTTCAAGTACCAAATGAAATAATACTTTCTAAACAAAATCTGAACAAAATCAAAATAAAGATTCAGCAGATCTTATCAAAACTTGATGCCAAACAATTACTTTTACTCAAAGGTTTTCTGATTTTATTTGTAGCTATGTCTCACATATTTCACATATTCATCTCATATTTTAAAATTCAAATCTTATTTATTAGCACACACTTTGTGTATAACCTGTTCTTGCAATGAATATGTAACTATCTATAGCTGATAACATTAAACATATTTCTATTCAGTAAAATCAAAATAATCTATTTTCTTTTTTTGACTCTGAGCTCCTGAATAGACATTTGTACTAGGAAGAGCTTTGATATCTCGTGCTAAAATTGGAGTTGGTCCTTTGCGGATGCCCATGTCCCGCTGAACAACAGTCATTATGCTAGCAAAAGGTAGATAACATTTTGTCCTAAAAAATAATAAAAATTACATTAGCATCTAGTAACAGTTAATGTAAAATATGATGAAAACTTTACTATACAACTCATTAAAAAATTTAATACAAACTGTAGAGAAATTTAACACCAAAATTATTTCTATTATAACTATCATATTTTGAAACAGTCTGCTTGACACTAAAATAAACTTTTTGACACTACACAAAAAACTTTCAAGGATATCCCCAAAAAATATAATCAATACAATTAACTAAATGACTCAATAGAAATAATATGAATATACAATTTGTTTCAATTTAAACTTGTCAAGCTTCAAGAAACTTTTAATAGGGGCACAAGTTGTTGCCCAAAAAGTGTTTACAAATTAATCAAGTTCCAACAATTGTTAATATGTCAGTACTTGAATTTTTAAATACATACCTATTAGGAACATCACAATCTCATGCAACAGCAGATTTGCATATAATTTTATATTAGATTTTCTTTCCTCAAAAGAAATCATTAAAAAGGCCTATGTTGACAGACACACACACCAAAAAAAAAAAAAAAAAAACTACTTACATAAGTAGGTGATTAAACACGCCCTTTAAAACACAATCGCTAGTTTTATTTAGCCTTCTAAACAAACTTTACACTATTTTTTATAATGGCCATGGAAAAAAGAATAAGTTTGTGTCAAAAGCTGTAATCATTTAAAATAGATTAAATGTTTTGGGATCACTCTTTTAGTTTCGAACTGAGAAAATGCAATATAGATAATTAGGTTTTATACTGCACTCATCTTCCCCACAATTCTTTATTCTATATTTGTGTTCTAAGGATCAATTAAAAAAAAGAAATAATAAGGGGAGGTATTTGAATGTTAGCCTGAACCTGTTTATATACTGCTTAGAAAACCAGACCTGACTCTGCTTTCCGTATTTTCCCCTCTTTTACAGTTACAAGCTTATAAATCACACGTTTGTATAAGTTCTTGCCCTGAGAACCAAAACATTTTCTATGGAATTGACATCCCCTCGGTTTTAGAACTATTGGTTAAGGAAATGATTATCCAAGGAGAGAAAACAGGTGATAGAGCACTGTCTGGGCAATAGGAGGACAAGGTAAGACTTCCCAACCAACAGTGTTGATCACCTTCTAGGTTGCATTCGCCATAAGAGATCTAGCATTGTCTTGAAGAATGATCATTCCTCTCCTATTAACTTACTGGCTGCATATAATACAATGCAGCTGCAATTATTTGCAACTAGAGCCAGCACAATGATGGTTTTGCCATACTCTAACAATTGAAAGTGCACACTACCACCAAACACAGAACACTACCTTCTGTTGATGAATGTTTTATTTGGAGGCAAATATCACAGAACTAAAAGATGACCAATGACCAATGATGTTTTCTTTTGCGGATACTGTACAACAACCATTTCTTATCACATGTCAATATCTGATTTAGGAATGGGGGCTTTCTTGTGCCATGACAGCAATGCACAGCAAACAGAAGGAAGTCACTAGAAGTTTGGTTTCCTCAGTCAAAATGTGAAGAACCTAATTACTGAGATTCCATGTCTTCCGAAGTTTGTGCAATCTGATCGTTCTGGCAAACGAACGGTTTCCTCCGACACTCCAAACTCTTGTGCAAGTTCTTTGCATGTTTGATGTGGATTATGCTCAATATCCTCTTTCTGCAGAGCTTTGTCAATATGTGGATAGATGGCCAATTCGAGGCTTTTTTGGAGGTTCTCATCTCTCAATGCAAATTGACAGAACCACTTTCGTGCTCTGCGCTCACTCCAATGCCTCTCCAAACACAATGCATATTTTTTTTAGTAGCTTCTGCAGCACTGTTGCCCAATTTGAACTCATAAATTAAACACAGCCCTAAAACCTCCTTTCACGCTGGCAAGTTAACTTCAAGATTGTAGTTCCTTATAGAGCTGCTTCCAACACAACTGAAACATTTCCCAATTCTGTACTGTCTGATGGCTAATGTGGATGTCAGTATCTCTCATCATCCCAACCCTGTTCTTTGTGTTTTGCTTTTTCACTCTAATAATATGAACTATTTTGGATCGTAGTTGTCTTAAAAAATAAAGGCAAAGGATATTTTAATTAAAGTTAAACATCCAAGGAAAATTTTATGTAGCATATTACTTTGGATTTAAGCTGCTCTTTTTATTCCAATTTTAAAAAGATGCAAAACCTCAGCACACTTTAAATTCAAAAAAAATATTTTCACAAATTATTGCTGCTGATTTCCCAATCTCCAGTGATCAGATTTTAAATAATAAGGTTTTAAAAATCAAAATAATTTTCTATAAATTATTTTTCAATACCTATTACAAAATCATTTTTACTTTTATTTTATTTCAAATTTAGAATCCTACTATTCCTATTTATTGTCCATTTATCAGGCAAAGGTGTTACCAAATAAAGATACAGCACATCAGAAAACATACGAGTGACATTGTATAATTCTGTGCACAAAATGGTATCAATCTTATCATATTATTGATGAAGGTGGGCTATTTTTTCATGGACCACCCTGTATTAATTTGACACCTTCTTAGATACAAATGGTAGAAAATTTTTCAGTTAAAAATATGAACTCACTTGTATGCAGTCACAACAACATTCTTCTTTGGCTCTTCATCATAACTCTGTGTTTCACAGCCAAAGAATTCTGCCAATTCATGTACAACTCTACGTTGATCTCGATTCATGGGAGGAAAGGAATGGCTTCGATATTTCTGTTTTGACTGAAAAAAATTTGGATTCAACATGCACACTCTTTCAAAGGTATCATCACAGAAAATTTGATCATTTTGAACAAGTTAAGTACTGATAACAGTATAAAATTATTTCAATTAAAAAAAAAAAAAAAAAAAAAAAAAAAAAAGAAGAAGAAGAAGGAATGCTTACACTTTTTGCTAACTGAACAAGTTCAGTGATTTTATCATAAACACCAGACACAAAAGCAGGATTCTTTTTTGCTTCATCTTTTAAAAATTCAGAATAATTTGGAGGTCCAGGAGAGCAAGATAAATCAGGATTCTGTATTTGAAGAGCTACTGCCAAACGCTTATTCCTTTCAATAACTGCACATTCTTCATTGCACTGCAATCTATATAAAAGAAATTAGAAAAATTGTATAAAAGAGTATGTAAAGAATTACATTAGATAATCATGAATAATTTGAAGAAAACAGGAGCGAGAGAAACAGTTTATCAAATTTACCAGCATCGAGGAACAGGAAAAAAAAAAAAAAAAAAAAGACTGGCCTTTTGATGAAATAATTTATAAATAATCAGAATGAATTTCCTTCCATCTATCTAGCAGCAGAGATAAAAGAATGTCTAAAGTTAATTTTTTAAAAGGGTAGTCATAACTGTTTTATATAAATTACAGGGTTTCTTTTATTTGCACTTGTCTTGGCTCAGAAGATATATTCAAGTACTTTTTAGGCTTTTATTAAATTACACGGCCACCAATTCAATTACTGAGCTTATTTCAAGGCAATATACTAGAAACACATAACTCTGATAATATTTACTGCCACTGAAACTTCAGTTATTATCTCAACAATACAGAATCTTATTACAAAAAAATCCCAGAGACTTATATAACTCTTTGGATCTTTCTATTAGTCTAAAGTTGTCTTTCCGTTTTTTAAGAACTTTAAACTAGTTTTACAGCAGATCTTTTCATTTTGTCATTTCTTTATATTTACTAATATAAGCAAATGAACCTGACATTACAGCCTGCCTCAGTACAGAAGCATCACACCTCAATTTTTGGGGCTTTTGACAATTTATACTTATTAGTAAGTGGTTTGTTAGAAGCATATTATATTTCTATGCTAGAACTCTTTGTAACCACGAACATCCAAGCCATAGTACTGTATTCATTAGATCCATTTAATTATTTCAGATTTCTTAAGCAGAAAAACTAAATCTTTTTGGAGTGACAGCAGCACAATAGAAAGTTGGCAATAAATTCTGAACCTGTATAGTAGCATAAGTTACACAATAAAGTCAGTCTCAGAATGGACTAAAGTATTTGCAGATGCTAAGGCACCTCTGAACTTGAAAGACACTTTTCAGCCCCCCCCCCAATTTTTTTTTGTTTTTGTTGTCAATAAATATAGGGCCCAGATTTGCTTTGTTAAAAGCTGTTGACAGCTCTGAATAATCTAGATAGCAGTCACAGACACTGAGAAAATTCTTTAACTGATGAACATATTGAGAATGGCACCAGCCACAAACAGCATTTATCAACAGGATGACATTTATATTTTTGAAAACAATAACATGACTAGGTTAGCTAACCACAGGATAAAGAAGTTTATAGTTCAAAGATCTCAGATTCAGATCAGCGTTTTAAGTCTTGTAGCAGCTTTTATTTTATTTTATTTTTTAAAGTTCAGCATATTATAATAATGTCATTCAGCAATATTAGAAAGACTGCATGAAATAATCTTTTAAAAATTGTTTATACAGTAGAAAACTAAAAATCAGCAAATCTTTATGTAAACAAAGAAGTACGTATGGTTTTGACAATACTTGGAAACCATTAGCTGTCAAGAATTCCCTACTCAGTATTGATAAAGCAAGTTATCACATTCTATTGATTAGCATTTTAATAACTGTCATGAATAAATATTTTGCCAAAAGCTGGTAGACTTCTGCCCACAACTGAAATTCAGGTTCTGCTGGGTCAGTCAAGCAAGGTTGCAGTTGTGGGAATTTTTGGGCTCTTTTATTATTGATTGGTTTATTTGATTATGGCAAAGCATGCTAGGGCTATCTGCATAAAAGGAAGAATGCTTATGTGGAGGAGTTTATAAGGGAGACTGGGTCATACCCACATTACACATAGGGGAAAAACATAAAAACATCCATGCAGCCAACTCATTTGTTTGGAATTGAATCCAAGTTGAAATACAGTGTTCAGCGACTTTATCACTAGAACAACCTTCCATAACAAACAATACAAAACATTAACACTCACCATGTTTTGATCCTAGTGTTTAATCTGCAAGATTCTAACTTAAACAAACCATATTCTTTCAATTATCTCTGATAGAATTTTATGATTTAGCAGTTGTTAATGACAAAAAGTCTGTCTTTCAGGAAAAATGAATGTGAATTCATAGTGAGAAATTATCTTTTCAAGTAATCACATGAAGTTATGTTTTAGTGCTCATATAGCATAATATGTGCAAGTGCTAAAATGGCATAGCAACCAATGATCATGCCAAAAAAAGAAGTACAGAAAACTGGTTTGATGGAATTATTCCCTTAAAGAAACTAATATGCCTTTCATATATTTCACCGATGATTACATTTCTGAGCAGCACTGTTAAGTTGCAATCACTACTTCAAGACAAAATTCAGGCAAATATTTACGTTTGATGACACCTGCAGTATTTATACTTTTACTCTGATTAAAACCAAAAGTAGCATTTTTTCCAATATAACAGAATAGCAAGTTCTAAATACTTCATGACCTTCATGTGAGTAATAGTGAAAAAAAATTCAAAACAAAAAAAGTAAGCAACTTGTCAGAAATTAATGATTATGTCTGACTGGGTGGAACACAAACTAAAATATCCAAAAGTTTAAAATAAATTACAATGAACTGTATGGAAAAGGTAAAAATGTTTTTCTTTTATACTTTGTTCTAATGTTGTTCTTATATAAAATTATAACATACTTAATAATATTTGCTTTTCATTAAAAATATGAAAAATGGAAATAATTGCCATATAAGTGCATTTTATTGTTATTATGGTTCTTAAAAGCCTAAATCTAATTATTTTACTTTTATGTCTAAAATATTTAAAATATACACAATTTTAGGTTCCAAGATGTGTGGTCTGTGATCTACTTCAGTGTGTAGTAAGTATTCAAATAAAAAGATAAATAATAAATAAAAATGTTCAAATAAAAATGAAAAATAAAAGTGTTCAAATGAAAAGTCTAAAAGGCAGCACTTGGAAATTTCATAATATTTATATTTTGCAAAACACTGGCATTACACAATCATGAAGAATTAACATTTACTTGCCATATGTATGAGAAGGAAGACTAAATTCCAAAGCACAACATTAATCCTCTGATTGCTCAATTTGTGGACTGAAATCGCTTCCAAAATTGTGTATTTTTATTATTATTATTATTATTTTGCATATTTTAAATCTATATATATAATAGAATTGAAAAATGCACTTTTTCTTTCTACAAAATATTTTTTATATCGATTTTTATCATGAGAAACTAAATTGCCAGAAAAACCAATTTCAGATTCTATCACCAAAAAAGAATCTTTTTAAAAATAAATTTCAGTCAATTTCTATTTATTGCATAATATAAAAAAGTAAAATGTATAAAATTTAAGAAAATATAAAGCGCTGAGGGAAAAATACCTTAGAAATGCAGTTTAGCATGATAGAGTTCAAAACAGGGTTCAAGGCAAAGTCTAACTTCAACATCTTTGCACCAGATTCAATAAATCTAATTAATAATTCAATAATTTAATTAAATAATTAAAATAATCACTGAACGTTTTCTAGCAACCATTTCTGTAAGAAAAAAGCAGCAAAAAGCGAAGCGAAGTTTGAGTGCTAATAACCACGTGCCTTCAAATGCCGCAATTAAGTGGACAACTAACGATATCTTTTGGTCAAAACGTAAACTAAACGCCTAATACTGTATATAATTTATTTCAATGATTAACAGGGAAAAAACAGGATCCGCTCCTCAATAAAGGGAGAAAACATATGCCCACGGAAATCGCGGGAGGAGCAAATTTTGCTACATTTGAGTTGCTAATGGAAATCGCATGATGATCAGCCGGAGGGTTAATAATATTGGTTTGATGGCATCTGCATTTCCTACTACATCATATTATTCAACATTTATAAAGTTATGAAAACTTTTGCATAGTTTTAGACACATATGATGGGTAGTACCATTTAAGGCCTCCTGAATGGAAAAGTAAAATACAGTCTACTCCCAATTAACTACGTCCTATCTTAAAAAGTACAGTTTATTTACTGTGAAACGATGGAAAAATTACTCTCACAAACCAATGAAGTAAAACAAAAACTATACAGGAAACTAAATATGTATGTGTATATACATCATATAAGAAAAGCTTGGGATAAGTCAGTCTGTAATTTATACAGTTCAATTACAGATCACAATTTAATTTATATACACATTGTTACATCATCTGCTCGACATTTACTCTGAATGAAAATGATTTCTTCATTTCAAAAAACTTTTACTCTACTATTATTTACATTAAATTCTTTTTGTTTTTAACAGCGACTGAACTTAAGTAACCAAATGAACATACTCTGCATTTGAGTTTTTTGAATGAATGGATACTGATACATATTTTTGATTGTCTAGCCATCCTTGCTGAATTGCTAAAAATTGAGGGTCTTGTTCAAGAGACCGAACCTCCATTATGACAACATTTTGCAGATTGCCAGACCTATCATCTTTGTCTATGGCACTATTTGAATAGACTTTATCATAGACAGGTCAACAACAATGAATATATAAATTGTAAATATTTTTGTGTTAATTGTAATACTAGTTGTTGCTTTTTTGCTATGTTTTTCAACTGCCTTAAAATTAACTGAAATCTTGAACTAAGTATGGACATCCTCCCAGGAAATCTGGTGTTAAATATATTACTGACTTAGATGTTTTTACATAAATCTTTCAACTTCTGTTGATTAAGGGAAAGGGTCAAAAATGTATGTTCTTAAAAATTTACTTAAAAAAATAAACACTAACCTGCCATTTTTCGATTTCTTCCCAAGAACATCATTCAAATTCACACATTGGCCATCTTTAATTTCTTGCATTTTACTTGCCAAAACTGTGCCCGATATTAAACGATATGATTTTGCGCTATCATAACAAGTACTCGTTTCTGAGCGACGACCACAAGGACAATTTAATGTAACCTGAGAAAATTAAGAGATTTTTCAATTATAATAATATAAAAATAAATAACAAAAAGCTGTGCTGTCTTGCATTATAACAAAATAAGTAATTAAACCTAAACATTATGAAAAAGATACATAAAGTAAAACTTTAAAAAAATCAGTAAATGTGCTTACTATTTGTAAAAGAAGCATTTAGTTCAAAGGTTAGTTACCCTGAAACATATCTCACCATCCTTCCTTTCATAATCAGAATAGTCTGACCTATAAAGTGATCGAGTTCCATGCACAAATAAGCTCTTTTGTGATGTATTTATTCTATTTTGACACTAAATTTTATCAGGATTTCAGTGAATTAGTAGCAGACTAAAAATGTTAACAAAAGTGTATGGGAATTCTACAATGATGATATCAAATATCTGTGGTAATAGTGACATTTCAAAGACCGCCTAAAATCCATGGACAGATGTAAATATTAATTTGACGCTGCAGTATATTTGCCAGGATCATTTTCAAACTTTTGAGAATAATACTAAGGTTACTTAGTTTATTAGGACCTTACTTACCGTTGCCTTTTGATGAAATTTCCTTACATGTCCCTTGTATGTAGGTGTAATATTATTAAATAACTAATCAATTTAAATATTTCCATTATATGTGTGAACAAAGAAAAGAAAGCAAAATAGTGTATAAGTTAGAACTGTTTAAATATTGAAATATTCCTAAGAACTAAAATTCATGTATACAGATTTTTACATAAATATCTATACATAAAACTATTAATGATAATGACCACATAAATTGCAATGATTGTATTCTTGTTCAGTCAACATAAGAAGAAAAATTCAATGAAATACCACATCAACAAATAAATGAAAATTTTGCCACACTTACTGGATTTAGGCAGAAATTAATTAATTTGCATTTTATTGCACAAATAATACAACATTTAATTTCAAGTTACACTATTATTAATAAATTCATCCTGTTTAGAAACTTTATGGGTGCATTACTGTTAATTTCTTTCAGTTCTGTACAGTTTTTTCCACTTTCTTCTAGATTTAGAGCTCACTCCTTTCTTCACAAAACCACAATAGAACACTGTGCCAATCCAAACACATTGACTCTAAAAAATACAGTGTGCCAGCTTTTAGCAAATGGCAGCTGTGAATGAACAATGTAAATTTACAGATTTTCAGAAAGACAATGTTGTTCAGTTAACTATGTAGATCATTCATAATCAGAGGCTGACTGAAATACTGCAGATTTTGTGCACGACTGTGGCAAGAATATATGCCAAGACTACATCATTACCTGGAAAAGTATCACCAGCTAAAGTTTGTATACCTAGACATCAATCTTGCAAGAATATGGTTTTTATTGCCTAGTCATTTATCAACACTTCTCTACATCAGTGGTTCTGTCTTCTACATCAGTGGTTCCGAACCTGTGGTGCACAACTCCTGGGGGTATGCGAAAGAATTAACAATAACAGAAAACTTGTATTACAATGAATACTGATGAAACAAATGTTTATATAATTCAAATTTGTAACTCAATATAGTGAAAAGTATTTGGTAGGATTTTCAGTTTTACCATGACTAATCAAAATGCATGCAAAAGCAACAGAATTCACTGTAACTAGCTCTATCCACCATTATTTATATTGCTTTGATCCCTTTAGTCATCAAATATAGCCTCTTGCTTTGTTACAGTATGTCATATAAAATGACTGGCAGCCAATAACATATTTACATCGAGTAAAACATCAATCGAATTATGTAGCTATTTTCTTTATAGTTACATTAGAGTCAAATTAGACTGCAGAGTTATATTTTCTTATTTTTATTTTTTCCTTTTAGATTTGTTAAAAATAACATTCATTTAAATAAAAATAGATGAGCGGTTAAAAAGTTCATTTTCACACAGAATTAAAAAACTACCATGGGTAATAGCTCTGCATCTATACCAAGCATTTCCAAAGAACTAGCTGGACTGGGATGAAGCTATAATATGGTAAGAGACAGCCGACTAGTATTAAGAGAGAATTTCAAATAGCGGTCTTTCTCGCAAGAAAAGAATAGAAACTAAATACTGTAATTACAAACAAATATTAATAAACATTTTTCATCATGTCTTAAGATCCTAAAGTAAAATATGGCCCATGAAAATACAGATGAAAAAATGCAACTGAAGCTTCTTCAGAATAATGTATCACAAAAAGAGGTAAAAACCATACAATTGCTGAATCTTTCATTCATCTCAATGAATGCTTGGTTTATTTGATTATCTATCCACCTAAGGAGATGGATGCCTTCATGGAGGACTTTCTAAGGGAAACTAGCTCATATACTTGTATACACTGTACAAAAATGCCCATGCAGCCAGCCCGGTGTTCAGCAACTTTACCTCTCGGCTGCTTGTGGGTTTCAATGAATGTTTGAAAAAGAATATATTCAAAAAACTAACAGCATTCTTTTCACAAAATATACAAGTTCTTTGAAAAGCAAGGCCATGTTTGATTATTTTTGAAAATAAAGCAATTGAGAATTTTAAAAAGTCCCATTTCCCACCCCCTTTCTTTTTCATAACATTGACGAGACTACCAATGTACTGGACCTCCAAGATCAAGTCTTAATTTTTGCCTTAAATTTAGTATATATGAAGCTATATATTAATTCATTTTTAAATAGATATAATTTTAATATTTTACCATGATACAACACTATTTCAAGAATGCTGAGAATTTTAGTATAGGCTTACATATCAACAATGGTTAATAAATTAATCAATTCATTCATTTCTTTTTATTTCCATTTAAGGAAAACTCATATTCAGAATAATTACGGTATATCAATAATATTGTCTTTTGCTTCAAAATATACGTATTATTACTGTACTTATTTGAAATAAATAACATTATATTCAATCTTTATTTCATTATATTTTTCTGACATTATTCATTGCAGTCAATTAATTTTATAGAATTAAAAAAATAGAAAATAGTAGACAATAAGAATACAGTAAAATAGCCATAAATTAGACTATGAGAACAAGTACGAGTGGGGAAAGGAGACGTTAGAGCTACTCTGTAAAAATGACTTATCAAGAGGTAAGCAATAGATAAGGGGTTGGAAATCACTGTCCTAGACAAAGAATGAATGTGAACCAACAAGCCATGCATTTTGGTGCATAGATAGTTGAGAAGAATGCAAAGAATATCCAAAGAGCAATGCATCTCGAAATTTTTACAAATATCCATCTTGTCAGTTAGCTTACAGAATTTATTTACTGCAGTGTATTTATGAAATTTTCAACCAGTATTTTGGAAATGCTTTCAAGTTTATTGAATTATATTGTATCAGAAGGTTTTCTACAACATCTTTGATGATGATAAAATTATTTGTTGTTTCCACATACTGAACTTTTAAAGAGTATATAGATTTGTTTCAAAATTCCAAAAATAGTTAGTTTTTTGGCTACTATTAATTATTTATTCAGATCACACTCAGGTCCTCAGAAAACAATATTAAAAGCAATTTTATTGCCAAAAGAAAATGGAATGACACAAAAATATGAAATATATATGATTTTTATAAATGTATACAGCATACTGAAAAAAATTACTTCTAATTAAGAATCAACAAATATCAAGTGACTGAAAACATCCCAGACTGAATGTCACATAGCAGTTTCAAACACAGGCATTAAATTTAAAAGTGTAATAATTTTTAATCATATAAAAAAGATAAATACCTGAGCTTTGCAAGGAGTTTCAGGACAAAGACCTTCATGACATGGATTCCCACAAGGATGACCACAATTTGGTCGAGGTATAGAACATGGTTGTGTACATTTTGCATCAGGCTTTAGGCATTGACCTGGATGACAAGTTAATTGACATTTATGAACTCCACAAGGAAGTGTCTTATTGCAAGGCATTCCACATGACACACCATCTAAGAAACACATCACAGTTCCACATTGCTGTAATATAAAAAACATAATCAAATAATTTAAAATAAAACTTTTAAAAATGCCTGCTAAAAAAATACCCTAGCACTACTCAAAATTTAAAACCAAGACATAAAAATTACAATTTGTCCTTATGGTTCTAGTGTAGAACTGGGTGCCCCTTCGATTAGTGACAATTTTTTAAAAATTTTGGCGATGAAATCTCACTTCTGGTTACCATGATGGTTTTAACTTTGTTTTAGCTTCCTGATTTTATTTAAATGTGATGTGTACATGGACAAATTTAAGGCAGTGCGCAATGCCTAGTTTGTGCAATTCTAGGATGTTTTTTAAGTGAAAACAGATCGATGTGTACATGGACATAGAGTTTGTGCAATTCGACTTCTTGTTTTGTTTTTGTGTAGTGGCCATCTTGAAATTGTGCCTTCCTGGTGCCAACCTTGGCATAAAAAAAGAATTGCCAAAAAAACAAGGAGCACCCAATGGTAAACTTTTACCATCCTTAGATATAAACATTAAATATTATGCAGTTAACAATTATGCATTATCTGAAATCATATTATAATGAATCATATTATGAAGTTATGCTACAAGAAAAAAATTTAATCGACTTTGCATTTATCCCGTAAAAAATATACACAGCTAGTGTCCCATGTGTTACATTCATCATGTACTGCCTTGGATATTTTTGTATAAATGACACATCAAGAAGTGTATCGAAGGGGTGTAAAATCCCCCCTTTAAATTACAAACAACTAAAAAATCTGAGCATTAAAATAACTTTCCTTCAAAACTGAACTAAAATCACATGAGAATGTATAAGTTATGATTGAAAGTTTTTAGAAATATCAGAAAAATACAGACTTTGGAATTAGTAAAGTTGAATGATAAACTATAATAGGGAAGTAATAATAAAATTGAGTGATAAAATATAAGGAAGTTACTCTGAAAACATGTAGAATTCCTTAAATTCATGTAATCCTTCTGTAAGAAAATTATCAGTGTGACATGAATAGAGCAACAAACAATGTGCATGTTATTTTGAGCATTCTTAATGCTTTTACAATTATGATGAAATTTAAGCATAAAACAACTTCTTTTAAAATTCATGCAAATTTTAATTTTTACTGCACAATTTTTTGTTTACTTAATATAATTTTAACTTCTGTATTGTAACTTTTGAAGTTACATTTACAGTATCTAATGTTTTTCATGCTCCATCAAAAAACTATATCAGCATTTTTTTTAATGATTTTTAAAAATTCCTTTTTACTCCAGAACACCAATATAATTTTGAAAATATATTTCCTTTTTTTGCTATCGATATGTTTTTCCTTCAAAAACAGCTCTTCTTATAGTTAAAATAAAGAGAAAAAGCATATATAAACTAGTAATCACTCATGCAAGAATGTTTTAAAAAGCATTCTGGATTGAAAAATATAGAATTATTACTGTTATTGGATTAAATACCTTATGTTTTCCATAGCACCATTTCACAGTAAGAGATGTACATGGTGGACAAGTTTCATCACTATGACATGTATGCTTTACATCATGCTCACATGAATGACTGCGGGTACAAGGTTTAGGGCATTCGGGAGGCTTAGTTCCACAGTGAATTGGAGGATACGTAACAGAAAATCCACAATGACATCTTAACTCCTCAAAACCTAAAAATGGAAGTTCATTTTTATCTGGACAGTGAGAAAATAATAAATAAAATTAATAATTGTATTGTTGATCAACATCATTAGGAGCAAAGTAACTATGCCCAAGATTAATTTCAGGTTTTATGAAACTAAACCTGAAAAGTAAAATTTCCGCATATGCATTTCTACACATATCTTAAGAGCTTTTAAAACACAATGAAATTTTCGTATTGTTATGCTTACTCCATGACCAGACATAATAACTACAAAAATTTTGTATTAAACTGTAAATAGCTTTTGTAAAAAAAATTCCTGTTAACTATTTTGATCAAATTAGGTTAAGCTTACTACAGTAAAAAACTTCAAAACTATTAATTATAAATGTCTGTTTCAAATAACTTCAAATAGCATCACATTAATTTAGCATTTTTAGAAATGCAACATGTTAGCTTTAATGCAAACATGAGTTCAATATCCAATTGCTATTTCACCACACATTAATTACCATAATAAATGAATAAACTATATAAATAAAACACATACCTGATGGCATTACATAAATGAATATAGGTCCTACCAAGTTAAGTGTACAAACAAAGCTACGCTCTTAGTAATGCCAACATTATTTTTTTCAAAAGTTGGAGAAATAAAGACACAGAGTAGGGAAAAAGTTGTTTTGCAGCAGATTAGAAGTTAGTGACATCATACAAGAGTAAACCTGCTAGTATAGTAATCTTGGGTATTACAGAGCATAATACAAAAAGAATGGTGCAGATTAAGTCAGAGAATAATTTAACTTTCAATACACAGGGGCACAACACACACCATCAACAATGATAACTATAAATTTCTCTTATATTGATTACAATATTTCAATGTGCAGATCCTGGGTCATAAAACTCATATCCATGCAGTAATCAAATTCATTCTTAATTTGGTAAGTAATGCCTGCTGTAATGGCCTGCAGTGAGTTCACTTTCAATTGCAAATTTCCTGGATGATTGTGGGTAAAGGTGGTATGTAAATGCTGTCTTGAACAAACTTTCAAAGAAAATGCATGGTGTAAGATCTAGCAAATAAAGGCAAAGAAGATTATTTCCATCTGCAGCAAAGCTGATCCATAAATGAAAGAACACAACTCAGAAGCACTCATTTGTAAAACATTTCACATTCCTGCGAAAATGGGAGTGGGATATAGAACATAATCATCATGACTCATATTCAGTTGAGTAACACCAGTTTTCCAAAATGCCCAGAAATGTCATACTTACTTCAGGAAAGAAAAATGCCACTTTCTTACTGGCCACTGCACAGAAAATATTACATTTTGAAGGATTAAATCATTAAATGGCTAATTCAGAAATCAAACAACAAAAATCAGCGTTATATTTACAAAGTTTTCACAGGACTAGTTTCGATGGTTTTACCGAACCACCATCTTCAGCTGCAAAACCGCAAAACTAGTCCTGTGAAAACTTTGTAAATATAACGCTGATTTTTGTTGTTTGATTTCTGAATTAGTATTTATTCGGCGTGTTATTGTGTCTTCATTAAATGGCTTTAAAACCGTGCATGAAACTCAAGCTACTCTGTTCTTCATGATTTGGATGCCTCAAAACACAGCATTTAGAAAGCCTTCTGCTGAGAAGTCACTTTGAAAACTGACTCCAACACCCCTTAATAAGAAAGAGAAGTATACTGTTAAGGTAAACTGCTGCCAACAGTACAAGCTGTGTCCGAATAAGGTGAGGAAATACATTTATTATTAACTTTTAAAACTATACCATTCTTTTGTGCCTACAAGTGCATATATGAATAAAACATAACTGATTAAACTATGAAAGTGCTAGATCTGTCATAAAGGGGAAGTGTGATCTTCATGATATATATACAAGATACAAGTTACTTCCGTACTATTTTGATTACTTCTGAATAATAGGATTTTTACCAACTGTGCAAATTAGAGTATTCAATTATATGACATTAGAAACTAAAAAACACATACTGACATTCCCACACTGAGGACAGTTCCCCATGTGGCAAGTTTCTTGGCAGTTATGCAGACCACATGAGAGCTTCTTGTTGCATATTAAATCACATCTATGTTCAATATTGATGCAACAGTTATTTAAACATTTATGCCTTCCACAGTCTTTACGTCGATTACAGCGCTTTTCACAAAGATATAGAAAAGATGGATTAATAGTGGCACATTCAAACTCTTTGGTAAAAGCTCCACAACGACACTTTAATGAAGTTTTAAGAGGACAGGGTGGGCATTCTCCTTCATGACAAGTTGACTGGCATTTATGAGGATTATCTATAAAGAAATGTATGTAACATAAATACGTTTTCTTTTCATTAGTTACAAAATTAACACACAGTTGTAACCTAATTTAAAACAAATGCGCAAAACTCAGAACCTAATTTAAAACAAATGCGCAAAAATGCTTATTAAACATATCACAGTAATAGAAGAACTGAATAAAATATAAGTTATTTAGATACAACACAAACAAAAACCTTTATTTTCATTTGTTGTAAGAAATAAGTATTAGAATTTGAAAAATATCTATTAATAACAATCTCTATTGTATATTAGATTTGTACTTTTAAAAATATAAGAATATAAATAAATTGTGTTTCAAATTTTGGTACACTGTTAATTTAGATAATCTGCATTAGCAATAATTTCTCCAATTTTATTTTTAAGCATGCATAATATTTATCTTCCACTGATACAATGCCAAGTATTTCAGTCAAGAAATTAAATAAAAAACTATTATTCCTTTATAAATGCTGACAAATTTGTGGAATTGAAATAAACAGAAAAATTCTTTTATACATTTTCTGAGTGTAGATAAACACAGATAAGAGCAGACTGGAAACAAAATACTAGGATATAAATTTCAGTTATATTAGCCCTCCCCCCCCCCGGAAAAAAAAATTCCTCCTTAAAATAAGGAAGAATTTACAGTATCGAAGACACTGCAGCAAAACAGTAAAAAACAGAACAATTATTAAACAGCTAAAAAAATTTAAAATACAACAAAATTAGCAAACTTACTTTATTGTACCTATTTTATTTTATCGAAATACAGCAAAAATATGATTTTCCATCTTACAATTTTAACTCCTATTTTAATGTTACACATAATTATATATCAAGTTTGTATACAACTAAGTGAGTATACTTATTGTGGAATAAATTTCTGCATATTTTAACAATATTCTCAGTTTCCAAGAATATCTAATTTTTTTGTAAATGTCACATAACACCAGATATTTTCAACTTTATTTTATAATTTTTATCCTAATTGCTACATTATTTTTCATATTTTAATATTTTAACTCTGCATTTGTTAGAATTTAGACAAGAAAACATGGAAAATCTTAAAATCAAAATTAGAGCTTATATTTATGCACTTACCAAGATTTGCTATTAAGTTCCTAGGTCCAGCAAAGGTTTGCTAGACTTTTGGAATACAACATAGTCATTTTCCTAAAAAACATAATTTTGCTACTTGTATCTTCAGTACCTACAAACTATGCAGTGGTAAATAATGATCTAATTTTAAGACTGAACGCAACCATTCCTACACTATGGGGAAGGGCAATATGGGTATGCAAAATAAAATGTGTCAGTCATCTACATAACAGCATTTCCAACACAGTTAATAATTTATCTTACAGAATATTAAAACATTTCTAAATTTATATACCAAATTAAAGGAAATTTTGTTGCAAATTACATAAACTTACTAAAAAGACATCAATTTGAATTTGAAAAACAAAGGAATTAATTTTAAAATAAAAACATATTCAACCTTTAGGACCACAAAAGAGAGGCTTTTCACATATTTCTCCACATAATGGAATTGGATCTTTACAAGAGCTTCGTTCTGCTGTTTTCCCAGATGCCACTAAGCTTTCAATAGTTGATTTACCACAACAGCAAGTCTTGATAACTTCAATAGAAAAACTGCATGGATTACAAATGCCAGGATGACAAATAGAATCACAAATGTGATTCCCACAATTTAATGACTTCTCACACACTTCACCGCAAGAAAAGTCCACACATTTTGCTGATTCCAGAGTACAAACAACTGAACGGGATGATTTGCCACAAAAGCATTCTGAAAACAAAACAAAAGAATAATTGAAAAATATTTTTGGAATATTTCATTAATATAGAGTTACAAAAGGAAACAATTCAATGTTGTATTTACTGCAATTAAAATGAATGGAAAATAAAATTTAAAAAGCAGAACCTATACATATGAATCAAACATTTAAAATGAATATTAATAAAAATACACTTATATATTATTAAGCAATTAATAGCACAGATGTGCTGTTAGTAAATATAACTGCATTTATGTACAGATACAATGATATTAATTTTTTTCCCATAGCTGCCAATCTTGAAAGCAGAAAAACCAGGAAGGTTTTATGTTGTACAGCAATGCCATTTCAAAGGAACTCCAGCACTTTATAGTGCACGATTCAAGTTATTGAACTAAGTACTGTTCTATTATCAGGACCGGATAAAGAAATGTACATATGTATGCATGGATGGATGTGTTCATGTATGCATGCATATATGTACGTACGAATGTATGTGTGTATACATATATGCACATACAAACACACATGCATACATCCATACATTTCTGAATCCGGTCCCAATAACAGAACAGTATCTTGAACTATTTGTAACAAAATTCTGATGGAAAAATATCAGTATTTAATTAGAAATTCTAAATTTTACACTCTTTGTGTAATTTTACTTACAGTTTTATACTGAGAAAAATCCCAAATACAGAAGAAAAGCTTTTATTTATCCAAATACTTGAATGAAATGAAAATTTAATAAATAATTAGCATCATAACATTTACCTGGATAAATTTAGTAATGTACCATATTATGAAATAAAATGAAACTAATACAAATATTAACTGATTAAACATTGGCTGAATTTTCATTTAAAAATCTACAAATGTCTGCAGTATATTAAGACAACTCAGATAAAATAAAATTTAATAAGAAAAGGAAAAAAAAGAAAAAATGTTCAGTTGAAATAAAATTTAAACAAAAATCATTCTGAAAATCACAAGAGGGAGGAATAGGATTTCCACAATTTAAATTTCATTTATTGCTGGAAAAAAATTTCCTTAATAAAATCTAAAAATTAAAAACCAGGATATTTGGCAATCTACCAAGAGTCTGAGAGACATGATGAAAAACCGGAAGTCTCGCGGTAAAACTGGGAGAGCTGGCAGCTATGATATGTATTACCAGCAATGTATGAAAGCCAGCATTCTATAGAACACTTAGGGAATTTATAGAATGCTGAATGGCAATGTATGAAATTATTAATGCTTCATATACATCCTAGGCACTCCACAGAATACCAAATGATAAACCTGTAAAATATGGAAAAACTAAAAAATAAAGACAAATTCAAGAAAAAAAAAAATTTCCACTGCTTCTTTGGGAATTACTGTGCAATTTCCTATTACTGATATCTACAAGGGACGAGGTGATTTGCACAATGTAATGGCATAATGAAATTTTAAAACAACTATATGCAAAACCACAATTCAATTCACATTATTGCTCCAAGAACTTGAATTGAAGATATTCCCCGCTATGAAATTTTTCTCTGGTTGCAGTTGCTCAGTCCAATGAAAGTGGCCAAGGATTCATCAAGTGTATGTTTTAAACAAAGTGCCAAAATAGGAAATGTCTTTATGTGAAAAAAGTTAATACCAAAATAGGAAATGTCTATGCATGAAAAAAGTGTTGAAGTTGAATTCAAAATGTCATTCAAGTCTACCATGTTGCAACATGTAGGTTAATTTTAGTTTATTTTTTATATGAAAATTTTATTTTCTTTAATATGAAAAGCATAAATTTTGTTTTCTACAACTTACTTGTTGAACTTTCTTTTGTACATATTTCTTTACATATTTTGAACAAAAGTTTTTTTAATAGCACTCTTTAATTACTTTCTTAAAAATAACATTTGTATTCTTGAGAAATGAACATCTTTTAAATAACAACCTTACGATCTTTTTCCACACTTTGCCTTAACATTATCTGTCATTCCATAGAATGCAGAGGTATTATGTGCAATGCCTAGAGAAAATATATAATAGATCTCATATTTCAGACTTTGCTTAAAAACATCAAGTAGTCTATAAAATGCATATGTATTCTATAGAATGCTGGCATTTTATACATTCCTGGTAACATACATAACAAATATTTAAAAAAATTAAATCGATAATGGTATACAGTACAAAATCCGAAATCTGGACTTTGGCGATTCTGAATTTTGTATTTTTCCGGATATTAGATCAGTTTAATCTAGTAAGATGACATGTAGAAATTATAAAACTATGAAATACAGAAGCATTTATGGTCTTAAGGATTCAAAATTCATACATGTGTGCATACATACACAAGAAAAATTATCTCAGTATTTATTTATTTGTTTTATTAAACATTTCTTTCAACATAAGCTGCTTGATTTGCTTTGTCTTTGAAAATTCTTTCTTTTTAATTCTACAAATAGTCATAAATTTTTGTTCAATACAAAGTTCAATTGTTCAAATCCTGCATCTGTCATGTCGAGAATTCCATGTTAGAATCTCCATAAATGTTTGTTTGTATGTGTTCTCGCATTGTGATAAAACAATGGCACCTAGAGATATCAAATTTTGAATAACGCAATCTTCCACCAAATATGGGGTTCTGGAAGCTCTAATTTGGAATTTGAAGCCATCAATTTCATATTTTGTAATGCTTCAATGAATTTTTGATTAACAAACTCAACCATTTCAGAGTAAGTAATGGCAAAACAGTGCAAGGGAGGGAAAAAAAGAAAAAAAAAAAAAAAAAAAAACACTCCAGCATGCGAGACTCTGTACCGGAAATTCTAAAGATATGCACATTTGCAATATTGAATCAAATTGCTATTGAATTCAATTTTATGGTTTAAATGCAAAGAACATTTAATAAATAAAGGTAACACACAAAAGGTTAAAAAAAGGGTCCCTTTGGGCATAATGTAAAATCAGAAAGCTTTCAATTATTATTACTTCTTTTTTTGTTATTTCTTAGATGGTGCCACTAATATGCTATTTTTAGATTCAAACATATAATAAATACAATAAAATGACGGGGGAAATAAATGATAAAAAAGTGGCAGATAAACACACTACCTGGTTACCAAAAGAATCAAATATTAATATAATCATTTGTTTAATTTTATATTTTACATCAGTATCTTTTCAAATTATATTAAAGTTACCAGCTAAATAGTAATTTCATGAAAGAAATATCAAATGATTCAAGCTATTTCATAAAAAAAAAATTTTAAAAATAAAAAAAGCTTAATATTGATTATAATCCACTGCACAATATATTTTTCCATTTTCCATAAAACTGAAATAAAATTCAAGTTTACGATAAAGATCAATGACTGCATAAACTCTCCCGAAGCTTACTCATAAAAATCAATCAATTGCCAATAAAATCATAATTAGGTACTTTTCCATTATACCCCCGTACAATAATTGTCGTAATGGGAAAGAAAACAAATGTAATAGTAAAAAAAGTATTGGAAACTACTAGGAAAAAAGGAAAGACATTTTATTTACATTTTATAAATTAAATAATTATCATTTATTGACAAAACTTATTTAAACACCAATGTTTATTTCTGGTGGAAACTGCTCAGCAATCACTTCGATGATTGAGTCGAATGAATCTTTTTCATTTACTTTTTTCTTTTCTCTACAGGAATTCTGCCAAATATGATGGCAAATACTGTCTGGCGATATTGTGATGTTTTTTGTTCTTTTTTTTGGTGGACCCACATAGGTGCTGTATCGTCTGCATATGAACATTGGTTTCTGGATTCAAGAAGTTGAACTTGTGATTCACTTTAAAATACAAAAAGCCTGTTTTTTCAAGTTCATCAGTTTTGTAAGCTCTCCAACAATTGGAGTAGATGAGGCAGCTTTCGTTTACATTTTCTTTGATGCATTTTAGCAGACACTCTGCACTTCTGCTCGGAAAGGCAACAAGGAATGTATCCTTTGCATCAAAGCAAATTCTGCAAAAAATCCATTGTGGCAGAAAAATACACCCAGTGTTATTTTCTGTCTTGGTGAATAGACTTTCATCTACTTCAATGATTTAGCCTGGTCCTTTTATTTTTCTCCGCTTCTGGCCGGAAGCATCTTCAGTACAAACTTCTCTAAGATAATTGTTCCAATCAATGACAGTAGTGTGCGACATCAGAAGTTCTTTTTCACAAAGTTCGTTGGATGTCAATTCAACCATAAATAAATATATCTTATGGCTGTTGTGAAGGGTAGACGAGAATTCTCGAACCAATTGCCCTTCCCGATTCCGATTTCTTTTTTATACTTGTGACATCACCACCTTACCCCCCTTTCTAAAACCATATTATGCAGATTGGAACATTGTTGTTCTGAAGGGAAAATTTCACATCATTGAAAATACACTATAGAATCTGCTTCATTATTTGGGGGGGTCGAAATGAAGCATCATTACAACGTGGAACTTCAAAAGCCAACTAAAAAAAGATGGCCACGACAAAATAATGAATTACGACGTTTATCGATTATTTACGTTTTTTTCGCTTCTCAGCAAGAAACATGCTATTTCTTTAGGATATTTGTTAAAATTGCAGGGGTATAATGGAAACGTACCAATAATTATTATGGATAACTACAAAAATATTTCTTTTAATCTATACTGAAAATGTGCGATATTTTATTGCTATGAGCATTATTAACAACCTAATGTTGGAATAATAATAATATAGGTTATAGCTGAAAAGCAACAACAAAAAGGATAATTAGTTCTTCCTATAATTATTCAAGTCTATTGTTACTCAAAAATATTTCTTGTAACATATAAAATTATAAAAAAAAAAACTTATAAATACCTATCTTATCCCTTTTTAAACTATTAAGATAATATATAATAAAATTTTTCTGTTAACTAATGCTATTCAAATGAAGAATTCTAAAAATTAATAGAAACATCTAATAGTTATGCTAAAGTATGTAGCCGTTTTTTAATAAAAGAAACTGGTACTCAAATTTTTAGTGATAAATTTTTGATAACAGAGAAATTTTTGGTGGTAAAACAACCTCAGTGGCATTTTGGCAACCCTTATCTATTGTTGCATCAAATTTTCTTTCCCAAAGTATCTGAAATGTTATTGAGCGCCTGACTACATTGTTTACAATTACCTCCATTAAAGCTTATAACTCTCTTTTCAACTTTTTCAAAACACAGTTGCTTGACAAGTGCTGCCACTAATACATTGTTCGAGTCGTACCTTTCAGCATAGTTTATCTACTTTATACAACAATATGCAATAGCGAAAGTGTACGTTTTATTGGCACTTTTTTTTTAAAATATATTTTATGTCGAAATTCAATTTTATGAGTTACTTTGTTTATTTTCACCTTTGGTACTTATGTTTTGTTTCTTAGGAGATGGAAGTTGCCTAAAAATGTAAAGGCAAAATAACATATATATATGTAAAAATTTCAGTATTATACATTAGTCTTGAATTTTTAGTTAGACAACTTAAATATGAAGCTATCACTGCTGTGATAGATGATGTATTGCTGTTAATACAACCAACAGATGTAAGAAAATTATCTAGACCAGCCAACTTACTCTTGAATATCTCTGAAAATTTCATTTGAGAAGTTACATAACACTAACTCATTACATCATTATGAATATTTTGCTAATTGGATTTTCCCTCCCCACAAAAAAATTATTTTATTTTTACAGGATTCTCCCACACACAATTTTGAAACAGTTTTCAAAAAAAATTACCTTATTTTAAGAAACATTTCAACTACATGTCTAAGATAAATATTTTAAAAAATAAAACTTGTATTTTTTAATCCTCATTACATATTGCTATTAAAAAGTAAGTTCTGAAATATAATAATACCTGCATCTGACAGATAGCCTTAATCTGCCTATGCAATATTACGTCTTCAACGACTAAGAATGCATCATAATTGAAAAGCTCATACGGTGAAAAGCTGACACACGGGCATTTTGCACTAAAAATGTTTAAAAGATAATAGAAGGTTCCTGCCAATTGTGAAATTTGTTCTGTAGCTCGCTTCTTGAATGCAAAGAATATGCAATCATGAAATCCATAGGCAAATCTGAGATGCACAGCTATGAGCGAGGAAAGGGTTAGAAGATGGGTTCAATCTTTCAACTCAGGTGAAATGAATATGCATGATGAACTGCTCTGGCAAGTTGATAGGAAAATTCATGTGAACAGATGTTTCATGATCTCCAATCTTTCACTGTTCCCTGAAGTTTTACATACCATACTATATGAACTTGTTACTCAATGCTTGGATTACTGTAAAAGTGCATGTACAGTGGGTAATGAAAATGCATACAGAGGACCATAAAGGCAACCATTTTTTTACTGCTTTGACCTCTCTCAACCAATAAAATGCTGAGGAGGAGGAACTGTTGAACCACACAGTCACTTCCAATGAGACTTGGAAGTTCTCAGTCATTCCATCAGTGAAACAATCAATGGAATGGAAGTATCTTGCCTTGCCAACCTGGTAGAATTCAAATCGACTATTTCCACACACAAAATCACATGCACCATTTTTTGGGAGAGAAAGGTTATTAGTAGATTTCGCGCCCACAGATCAAATATATTACATCAGCAAACAAAAAACATAAAGAGATTATAAAATTATCTTTTAAAGATCAAAAGATTTCTTCAGTTAACAACAGATTTACATAATTAACCTGTGACTTTTAATTATAGGAAGAATTTAATGTTTTAATGTATTAAAAAGTCTCCTGTTACTATAATTTTACTACATACTTCATATTATGTATTCATCATGCCATTTGATTACTCTAGATGCTGGGTAATGCTTTTTATAAGTATAAACATGATTATATACAGTGCTTACAGTACATGATATACCACTGCTTACAGTGCAACAATGAAAATCCACAATGCCATTTAAAATGACAAACATGGCTTGCTTAATGACAGTGCCATTTCATTGCACAATAATGCCAAACCACATTCTACTTGTGCGACTCGGTATCTCATTCATTCCTTCAGTTGGGAACATTTGAATTATCCACCATGTACCCCTTCAATAACAATGAAGAAATCAAGGATGAAGTAACATTATGACTAACCTCACGGGTCACTTTCTATGATGCTAGCATACAAAACTTTATTTCTCTATTTTATTTTTTATTTAAACTTTATTTTTATACAATAAATGGCTTAATGTGCGAGGTAATTACATTAAAAAGTAGCATAATGTTTGAAAATCATGAGTAAATATTTATCTTTGTCCACATCTGTCCGTTTCCTTTTACACAGTAACGGACTTAACTTTCTAAACAACCCTCATACCCAAACCTATTACTATATCTAGAATTCACACATACTTTTTCATTACTGCTGTGAAACTAAAATTGTCATAATGTAATTGAAGAGTTGAATTTATACAATTGGAAAGTTAAACACTTACTTTGGGAAACCGTAACTGTGCATGATGGACATTTACCCGGATGACAAATATTTTCACATCTGTGCAACCCACAATTCAAAACTTTGTCACAAACATTTTTACATGTCTCTTCAACCACACGATTGCATGGCGATGTCTGAAAAAGATTAATAATATATTTTAAAACATAACATAGAAAACATTTCCTTTTAGTATTATTGATTCATTTTTAAAAATATATTACATCAGCAAACAAAAAACATAAAGAGATTATAAAATTATCTTTTAAAGATCAAAAGATTTCTTCAGTTAACAACAGATTTACATAATTAACCTGTGACTTTTAATTATAGAAAGAATTTAATGTTTTAATGTATTAAAAAGTCTCCTGTTACTATAATTTTACTACATACTTCATATTATGTATTCATCATGCCATTTGATTACTCTAGATGCTGGGTAATGCTTTTTATAAGTATAAACATGATTATATGCATGCATACAGATAATACTCTGTAATACATAACAACTTTAGTTATAATACTTTTATCTATTCAGCAAGACTCACTCCAAAAGTTAATTCAGTGCTTGTCATGATGTAGTAAAATTAATTACCTAATTATCCTCAGTCATGCCATCAAAATTTTTACAGGGATTTATTGGGAAAGAGCATGATTTCCTTCAGTTTCATCATTGGGAGAATTATATGACTTTACAAGGAGAATAACATTTTGTAGAAAAGCAGACCAATATGAAATCTAATTTAAGGCATAATTCAATCCCGACTCAACATCAGTTATAAAGAAATTACTTCCCTCCGAAAACAGCAAACAATAATAGAATTCTGTATTGGCAATTGACAAAGATGCATGGTTAATTTTTAAAAAATATTATCAATTCAATGCAACTAATTACAAGCAATAATGGAATGCAATAAAAAACCAGATGGCTTCCATTAAAAATTTGCTGTCCATTAATCTAACAAGAAAACAATTTTTATTCCTAGCAGGTTAATTAACTTGTCACAAGAGGTATACGATGCACTGTTTGTTCTGAAGTCAAAATAACTGTATCAACACAAATAATGGTTAGTTAACCCAAGAAGAGTGCGCTACCTAATTGTGCTTTTAACTCTGCTAGTGTGAATTTTTTTAAAAAATAAAATACAGAAATCTGAAAAATGGTGTTTCAATAAAGTATGTGTGTTTTATATCAAATACAGTGGACTAAAAAATGCTGTTAGATTTCATGCAACCACCCTGAAGAAATTCATTTCCTATAGGCGTAAATTTGCCATACATATTTAGCACTTACGTATCATCCCGTCAAACATGTAAGTTGGCAAAGATGCCAGCAAAGTTGTACCAATAGTCAGCTTTTTAGTCAATAAAACATTTATCAATCTCTCTGCACAATAGCCACTGCTGTGGAAGTATTCAAACAACTTCATTTCTAAGCTTCATGAAAACAGCTTTTGTCAGTTTTTACTCTTTTGTTAGGCACTCTGATGTTACCAGAAGCCCTGTTTAGAACACTACAAGTACAAACTCTATTATTGTTTTGTCAGCAATATCCAGCTATTCCCCACTTCATCAGATATTAATTCTTTTGATGAACCGAAGTGCAGTCGCAAATGATGTGTATGAATGTATTGGTCTGCATTTGCGACTGCTATATTTGTTTTTTGCAGTTTGGTTAAATGTGGTTCGAGGGCTGTAGAATCACTTCGATTCATTACAGCCCTCAAACCACATTTAACCAAACTGGAAAAAACAAATATAGCTATAACAGCTAATTTATAACTTTGCTTTTAAATCCAAAAGATAAGTTTATTGAGAATCATTAGGAGTAACATTAAAGGAAATTTTATTAAAAGAAATTACAATTTACGAGTGTTGCGACATCATGGTTATCCATAATTGCTGCTAAATAGTGCTGCTTGACAACAGCTTTATGGTATATGAAATAAAACATATCCTGCATTCTCATGATGCAAAACATTTCACTAGTAACATTAAAGAAATTAAAACCTTTATAAGTAATAAAAAACCAGACAGAACTCCAGCTTATTATTCATCTACTGAAAACACTGAATAGAAACTCGGTCCACCTGGAGCACCAATTTTGGAGGACTTTAAAGAAGATCTGTAATTCACAACAATTCAACAAGTTTCTCACAATAATATGAACTGAAAGAATCTTAAATTTGAAGTCTGTCTCCTATTAGCTAAGGAGGATGATTTTAGAGTTTGAATTCCCCTCTTTTTTTTTCGATTATTAAAAAATAAATTTTATAATTTAGTCTTATTTAACTAATTTAAATGAAAATCAATTTAAAAATAGGCATAGAAAATCAAAAATTGGGCAACTGATTCAGAAAACATGACATCGCAGTTACTTGAGCAAATTACGACAAGACTGTAAATGAAGATTAAAGAAACAATGATTATGCTGAAAATTTAGTGTTAACATGATGTAGCAGATGAAGATAATTTATCTACTTACAAATGAACTTTGGGTAATCAATAATCTATCATGTTGATAAGAACCATGATATCAAGATAAAAACTGAATTTGATGCCTTAAAGTGAACGGGTATGTCCAAAAATGGAAGGCCTTTCCAAATATCTCTTTGTGTCTAGTCCATGCCAAAACTAAAATCCCTTTTAAGTGAATAATTCATAATGTGTTGTTTTATACTCATGAATTTTCAATGAGTATTATATCTTATACCATATTGTATTACAGTCAAAAGTCGTTAATCCGGAATGATCTATAATCCGGACCTCAAAGCTACAAACTTTCTGCGCATGCGTCAACGCATAATGCATTCACTCATGCGCGTAATACCTTTACGCATGCACATAATACATTTACGCATGCACGTTTAATGTATAACGGACGGTATAAGCTAAGCTAAAATTATCTAATTATCTATTTCACTTAATGTTGCAGATTGCGTTGTTCCTTAATCTTCGAATTGGATCCGGCTTATTATTTTTTGCAGACTGTTAGAGCAATTTTATAAAAGTAAGCTTGAACTTTCGATTATGTCAAATAGAATTTCCGATGCTGGATACTGCCAAAGGATCTACAAAGCGAAAGCACGTTTCGATGTCCATCAAACAAAAAGTGGAATTGCTGCAAAAAATGGATAAAGGCATAATCCTTTGTTTCTCTAACCATTCCGAAATCTGTTTATCAATTTCACGCTGCAATGCGGGGAAGGGGAACGTCGCAGCGCGCAATGAACTGGAAGTTGATCTGTCAGCACTATCCTTATGTTTAGGGCAGATGTTTTTATTTTATTCAGCTTATAGTTCATTACTAAATGTAGTATTTCATCTCGATGTACTCTGTCTTTGATATGATTTAAATCACATTCATTATAAATATCACGAATACACATCAAATAGTTTTTTTGGTTGAAATTTTCTAATTTCGACTATCGTAATGTATGGTTTACGTATGCGCGCGTTGAAAGAAATGTTTAATAAAGTAAACAAATAAATACTAAGCTTTCTTTTTGCAAATTTTGATACCCTTTAAATCATAATTATTCTTCATTTCATAAATTACAGTTTCATATTTTTAATTTTATAATTTCTGCATGCCATCTTACCAGATTTAAACTGATGACCTATAATCCTAAAAAATCAATACTTCCGGAATCGCCAAAGTCCTGACGAGTCCGGATTAAAGACTTTTGACTGTATTATTAAAGTGTTATGTTTGAATTGCATGTTTCTGAATTTTCTATGCATTATGCTTTTATGTACTATTTAAGAAATTCCTCACATTGATGGAATATTTTGTAAATACTGGAATACTGGATGTATGCTTGTGTCTAATCAAGAAATCCCTCTCAATGATGGAATGTTTGTAAATACTGCAATACTGGGTGTATGTTTGTGTGTAATCAAACATCTGAACACCTGTAAGCTGTAATGCATTAATCAGTCTGGCAAATGTTGTTGACCAGTGCAAATTGTTATGAAAATTAGTGTGTTCATCTATAATTCTATAAAATTTTAGTACACAAAATTGTATTTTCAATAGTCAATGTTATAAGACCAAACACCCTCAACAGAATGTCCATCTAAGGTTAAATTTTGCTTGCTTTTAAACTGGAACATTTATTTTAACATCTAAAATTTGTGCACATACATCCCTGCCTGTTCAGAACAATGCAATAAATGAAAAAAAAAAAAAAAAAAAAAAAATTGGGAGGGGGAGGTTTCTAACCCTTGATGTTTTCCTTGCTTTAGCTAATTCCAATTTAGCTCATACTGCAATGATTAATACAAATGCTTACTTACTATGGGTGTTTTCCCACAAGCACAAGTTTTGTGGACCACAATTAAACATGGTGGGCATGGACCAGGATGGCAAAGCTCTTTACAAAGATGGGAACAATTAGCTCGCTTTCTACCACAAATTTCTCCACAGCTATGTGGTGTTAAATGATAATTAACATCAGGGTTCTTATGCTTTCCACAAAAGCAGTAGTAATCATATGGTACTTTGCTGGATAAACTCTGACAAGCAGGACATCGCCATCTCCCACCTAAAGAAAATTTAAAACTTATTTTATTTTAATCAAAATACATTAATATTTAATCAAGAAATGAGATTATCCTCATCAATCTTCTATATATTATTAAGTTACAGAAATAAACTTTACCAACCATTATACATAGCAGGGTAAAATTAAGAAATATAAAACTAATTAAACAACTGCATATATTATTGATAAAATTTAATGATCCAAATTTAAATATATAGTTAAATTAATTACTTTATATGGTAAAATATGCAGACGAAAAATCATATATAATAAACTCATATACAATCATACATAATATTAAGTATTTTAGAAAGTTTTATTGATTACCATCAACAACAGCTGCTGATGATCGAGCCCACTTTCGTATGCAACGCAGATGAAACACGTGATAACAGCTAAGACAGTGCCAGGTTTGATCTCTTACCCGAATAAGTTCACAACATACTAAACATTCACACTCCCCTTTTGTCAAGCGCTGAATTAGTAATTCTGGAATATAAATGAAAACATAACAATATACAAAACATTGTTAATAAACATAATGACAATTAATTTAGCAACTTGAATATTACAAAACAAATAAAATGCATTTGACCAAAATTCTGTTCTAAAAGTTTGGTATTATCCCATTAACATCACTCTTTCAGAAAGCCTTCATTGTCTACTGCTATTTGAAATGAAAAGCTGCTGAGAGTTATTTTGAAGATTTTTAATATGGCCAACAACTGTACTGTTCTTGTTTTTTGATCAGTTTATACAGGCAGTTCAAGTTAGATAAATACACACTTAATTTAATCAATATATATTGAATAAAGAAATTAGAATACATAATAAAGAGGCTGTCTTAAATCTCTAAATATAAGTTTCAAAGGGAATGTAGAAAACAGATATGTATTCTATTCACATATGAAATAAGGAAAGGAAACAGATATATATATATATCTATAGATATATGGTACCATGCAGCTCAAATCTCTAAATACATGCTTTCAAGGCAGGTAGAGAACATCAATATGCATTCTATTCACATAGGACCAGAAACAGGTATGTGGTAACATGTAGATAGCTACAAGCTTCGGACTGGTACCTGAGATTCCTCATTAGGACTTGTGATATTATGCAGATAATATGCCTTCTTTTAGGACTGCTGAATTCTCTGATATGAACTTCATGTACGGACAGTAATGAACTAGCTGTTGAAAGAGAGAATGTAATAGGACAGACATGATAGATTTGTGGCATGGCTCCCCAGTTCCCACGATTTATCTAGTATTTATTTCTCCTGTCATGGACCTTTCAAAGCTACGAGGGCCATCCAGGAAGTAGATTACGTTTCCGTCTGTGTCCGCTAGGGGCGGGGCTAGCGCGGCCATCTTGGGGTCAGAGCGTTGCGCAGCTCAGTCTGCATCTAGCCGTGCTAGTGAGAGGTTCGTGCTGTGCTCCGTTCAGATACTGTGACGGTTTGAAATGTCTGCGTTAATTGAAAATCCCGCGAGCTGCGAGGTGCGCTCAGTAATAAGGTTTCTGACTGCAAAAAACTGTAAACCGATAGAAATCTATCGGCAGCTTCGTGAAGTGTATGGGGACAACATTATCACTGAAGGTGGAGTGCGTCAGTGGGTCATAAGATTTCAAAATGGCCGAACCAATGTTCACGACGAAGATCGAAGTGGGAGACCCAGCATAGTGACCGCCGAACTTCTCGAAAAAGTCGATGCTAAAGTCCGTGAAAATCGAAATTTCACAATAACGGAACTTTCTTTGAGTTTTCCACAAATTTCGCGAAGTTTGTTGCACGAAATCATCAGCGAAAAGCTTGGTTACCACAAGTTTTGTGCAAGATGGATTCCAAAAATCTTGACAGAGGACCACAAAAATCAGCGAATGGCTGCAGCGTTGAACTTTTTGGACGCTTACCATAAGGATGGTGACTCTTTACTCGATCGCATCGTTACTGGTGACGAAACATGGGTGAAACATGTGAACTGTGAAACGAAATTGCAATCAATGCAGTGGGGGCACACAAGTTCTCCCCAAAAACCCAAGAAATGCATGCAAACAATGTCGGCAAGGAAGATGATGGCGACTGTTTTTTGGGACAGAAAAGGTGTAATTTTGGTGGACTTCCTGAAAAGAGGCACTACAATAAACTCTCAAAGGTATTGCCAAACTCTCCAAAAACTCAGAAAAGCAATTCAAAACAAGCGCAGAGGAATGTTGAGCTCTAAGATCTTGTTGATTCACGACAACGCCCGGCCCCACACGGCAAATGTCACTCGTAAAGTTCTTGAATCTTTTAAGTGGGAGTTGTTTCCTCATCCGCCGTACAGTCCCGACCTGGCACCGAGCGACTTCCACCTATTCCCAGCAATGAAGAAGTGGCTGGCTATGCAGCGTTTTGATGACGACGCACAGCTGCAAGAAGAGGTAACGAAGTGGTTGAAGGCGCAGGCAGCCGAATTTTTCGACGAAGGAATTTCCAAGCTCGTACATCGCTACGATAAATGCCTTAATTTGTATGGTGACTATGTAGAAAAGTAGTATTTGAGTGTGGCTTTCATCTGTATATAATAAAATTTGTTTCCTATACTTTGTTTATTTTTTTATTCCAAAACGTAATCTACTTTCTGGATAGCCCTCGTATCATGTCTGAAATATGCATTTCTTCCAATATGTACCTCTGACAATAATCACCATTACTACTACTGATATCCATGAAGCTCCAGGTATATATATTTTTGATAATATTCGACATTTCCACGAGACATTAGAATCAAGCATGTATCATCATCCCTATGAATGGTTGGAACTTTCAACATCTCTTATGAAATAGTATTCTCTGTCTACGAGTTGATGTACTATCAAGTTTTATCTAATAAAGTAATTTACACTTTTCTGGAGGTATTGTGTTCTCGCTGTGTCTTAGTGTCCCTTCCATCTCCTGAATATGGTTCAGCCTGATGCTCCCTATATGGAATTCTTGCACTTTATGCATGGAAATTTAAGACACTCTGTATGCAGTAAACACATATAATTGAATATGATGTTTTAAAATTTAAATTTAATAACACATGTTGATCTAAAAAAGTTGTATGGTTAAAATGCACATATGTGATACAATGAGATATGTTTTTAAAGTAAATACCGTTTAAAATTTCAACGCTGCAATTGGCACTCCACGCATGCACATTATTTACCAACATCGCTTTGGCAAGTCACAGAAATCATTAGAGAAATTTTCGACAATGTTAAAAGTTTGTTTTCAAGTATCTATAATAGCTCTGCCAACTGAGAATCCTTCTACCTGTGAAGTACGATCGGTGATTTGTTTTCTTAGTGCTAGAGATGTAAAAGCGGCTCAAATTCATTGTTAGACAAGTATACAGAAAAATCATTATGAGCAATGGAATGGTATAGAAATGGGTTAGAGCTTTTAAAGATGGCTGTTGTCTTCTTTCACTCCTAGTTACATTCATTAAATCCATTTTCTGCTTCCTTGATTTTCATATAACCTTCTCAGTCAGAATTAGGCCAAAACACCTTTCAGTTGCTGTTTCTATACTCTGAAGCATAATTCACAATTTCAAATTTACATGCAATAGTATACAACAATCGTCTGTATTTAGATCCCATGAGGATACTCTAATTTTAACTTTTATTTTCATTAATTTATACAGTCAAAAGTCGTTAATCCGGACTCGTCGGGACTTTGGTGATTCCGGATTATACATTATCAGTTTAAATCTCATAAGATGGCAGGTAACCATCATTATAACACTAGTCCCCTTTAGTCAAGCAATGCAACCACTATTATATGCATTCCTTTTCATGCTATTCAAACCCTCCCAACAATTTTTATAAATAAATCATGTTTTTTTTTTTGCCTTAAGCATAGTTTTAAAACATGCACTAGTGGAACCTGGCAGCAATGGAAGAAACTGTGGTTAAACTTCTGCAAGGAAGCAGAATTTCCCTGAAAATTTTGTAAAGGGAACAATGAGGAAATGCACTTCCTGGATAGTAGCTGCATGAGGCCGAGTTTTCACAAGCAAAAACTAAGCAAAAGCAGATTGTTATGTACTTTGGGAGAATAGCGCAAAAAAATTACAGAAAAATTTGAAGTACAATGTAAGTGTTAATTTTTTTAATGCATCATGTAATCCTTATTTAATAACTCAAATTTATATTTTAAATTGTTAAAGTATATTTTCTTTCCACATGTTGATAATGTTTACTGACTGACGATAAATAATGATAGTTTAAAGTTTAAGAATCTTTCAAAAAAAAAAAAAAAAAAAAAAAAAGTGTGAAAACCACCAACTCACACCCAAAAAGCAACTTTTACCTTTTCAGCTGTAAAAAAGCACCAAACTGAACCAAGATGTTTATACTAATATGCAAGCACCTTAAAAGGTATTATTAAGTGTTTGCTTTCTTTTAACTCCCACTTCTTATACGAATAAAATTTTAAAATGAAAATATTAGTTCAAGATGCTTAAATTAATAGTCATACTTACATGTAAATATTTTAAATAAACAATAAATATTCAAAATTTTGAAAAAATAATTCAGAGATACTTAATCTCTAATTTTACATTTAAAAAAAAAAGTCCTCAGAGATTTAAAACTACAGAACATGAAAATAATTAAAAATATATAAAATATTCAGAATTTACATGCATGATACAGTCAAAAGTTGTTAATCCGGACTCGTTGGGACTTCGCCGATTCCGGATTATTGATTTTTCCGGATTATAGATCATCAGTTTAAATCTGGTAAGATGGCATGCAGAAATTACAAAATTAAAAATATGAAACCGTAATTTATGAAATAAAGAACAATTATGATATAAAGGGTATCAAAATTTACAAAAAGAAAAAGCTTAATATTTATTTGTTTACTTTATTAAACATTTCTTTCAATGTAAGTTGTTTAAGTTGCTTCGTTTCATGTGATAATACTTTCTCTTTAATTCTATTAAACAGACATAATTTCTTGTTTAGTTACAAAGTTCCGCCGCTCAAGTCCTATAATTGCTGTGTCGAGAATACCCACTAATTTGTCAATCGAAATTTTTTCGTTTTCAATAACCTCTGTCACTTTCTTCACTATCGGAAGCGAATTATAATGATGAGGAACTTGTTTTAAATCATATCAAAGACGGAGTACATCGAGATGAAATACTACATTTAGGTAAGGAATTATAAGCCAAATAAAAAAAAAACATCTGCCCCTGAAGATAAGGGATAGTGCTGACAGATCAACTTCCAATTTATTGCGCTGCGTTTCCCGGCGTTCCCCACACCGCCACAGAGCAGCATGAAATTGATAAACAGATTTCGGATTTCGAAAACATACTTTCGCTCTGTAGATCCTTTACATATTAGTACAAATATATATCGGAAATTCTATTTGATATAATCAAAAGTTTAAGCTTACTTTTATAAAATTGCTCTAACAGTCTGCAAAAAATAATAAGCTGGATCCAATTCGAAGATTAAGGAACAACGCATTCTGCAACATTAACTGAATTACATAATTTTAGCTTAGCTTACACCGTCCGTTATACATTAAATGCGCATGCGTGAACGTTTTATGAGCATGCGCACAAGCATATTTGCAGCCGTAAAGGTCTTACGCGCGCACGTCAACGCCTATTTGCATGCGTCAACGCGACACATGCGCAGAAAGTTTGTAGCTTTGAGGTCCGGATTATAGATCATTCCGGATTATGGATGTCCGAATTAACGACTTTTGACTGTATAATACTATGTCTAATAATGATTTTGTAATTAAATTCTGATATAAGTTACAATACATGCACTTACCACGCTGAGTAGCGTCATCATTTTCTTTATAGTTCAACCTTTTTCCACTAGCATGTCTGTAATTTCCAGATTTTTTAGAAATAGCTGTAGGTTCATTCTTTATATCCAGTGATAAATTACTATCATCAGATATGTTTCCAACAGTCCTTTTATGATTAAATTGTGAGGGCTGCTCTTTCATATTTGATGATGAACTATCACAATCAGATGTGTTTTCTTTTGTCCTCCTTTGACTTATCTGCAATTTTTCTTTAGCAGGATCAAAAGTCCTTTGTTTGTAATCATTACGATGATATCTGTTTTCATATGAAAACTGCCTCCTTTGATTTGCACTAGGAAGCTGGACAGTTTCTTGATCATTTGTGTAATAATTTTTACTTGAATTGCTATTTGAATAATTCTGTTTATTTTGATCTTTCATTTCATTATGCATTCTTAGCTCTTTGGAATGAATAGATTTATTAGACCTATTAGGTTGTTTTCGTATATACCTACCACCTACTATTTTACCTCGCTGTGATGCATACTGTTCATCTGTATTGAAACTGCTTGCACTATTATCACATAAGTCAAGATTACAAGAATTTTCAGAAGATTCTTCACATTTGTTACTATTGGCGGATACACGATTACTTTGAGTGTAAGTATTATCAATGTATTTTCTTCCTTTCTTCAGCTTATTATCCCTAAATCGTCCTCTAAGACCAAATGAACTCTTGTACATATCAGACCCTTTATCAACGGCAGTTTGTTGTTCTTCCCAAGAACTTGTATTTTGTTCATTTTTATTTTCAGCACTTGCACTATTATCATAAGAATCAATATTACAAGAATTCTCAGAAGATTCTTTGTATTTGGTACTATTTACAGGAAACTTAGATGCATGAGTATCTGGAGGATAATTATAAGTGTTATCACAGTATTTTCCTGTCCTTGGCTTATACCTAAATCGTGTTCTACCATTACAGGAGCTCTGGTACATATCAGACTCTTTATAATTGATGGCAGTTTGCTGCTCACCTAAATAAACTGCTTTCAGTTCATCTGTACTATCAGCACTTGCACTATTATTACAAAAGTCAAGGTAACAAGAATTTTCAAAAGATTCTTCATATTTGGTACTATTTACAGGAAACTTAGATGCATTATTAGTTTGAGGATAATTATAAGTATTATCACAATATCTACTTCCTGCCCTTGACTTGTTATACCTTAATTGTGACCTACCATTACATGAACTCTGGTACATATCAGACTCTTTAGAACCCATGGCAGTTTGTTGTTTTCCCATACAAACTGTGTTCTGTTCATTTGTACTATCAGCACTTGCACTATTACCACAAAGGTCAAGATTACAAGAATTTTCAGAAGATTCCTCATATTTAGTACTATTTATGGAAATAGGATTATTTTGAGTATAACTATTATCACAGTATTTTCTTCCTGTCCTTAGCTTATTACCTCTATATTGTACTCTACCACTAGATGCTCTAGGTTGCCTACAATGAAAGTCAGTTTGTTGCTCTCCAAAACAATTCACTGATGCACTACGTATTTCAGCATTCATATTATTAAAATATCTGTGTCGCGTCACTCCTCTGCCATCATGAACCACATTTGGGCCTCTGACATTGTACACAATTACTTCACTTTTATTTAATTCAATTGGCTCCATATTTTAGTTATTCTAAAATGAGAAAATAAGCATAATGTTAACAAATTTAGTAATAATATAAATATCAAATGAACTAAATATTACAAAAAATGTTTTTAACAAGAAGCAATTGTACCCATGGCTATTATTAAGAAAAAAGTTTGTACGATACGTGGAAAAAAATGTGAAATATTATTATAGCAGCCACTGCATAGGCCTTTGGCAACCGAGTCTGAGAATCAAATAAGTTACATATCACAAATTTGGTGATTAGATTTTTGTCAATTTTAACAACTTACATGGTAATCACTTTTATAAGCAAGTAGAAAAACATGTATATATATAAACTTTTGATAATACTTATGGATAATTCTAACGTCACAGGAAAATGTCAGTATACTCTAAACTGAAAATTAATCTACATATTTTAATACACATTGAACATCTTAAATTTTGCTCCTTCTCTATTTACAACTGGAATACGTTCAAAGACAACAATTAGTTCAAATGCATTTAGCTGTTTAAATATTTTAATTATTGAATGAATATTAGATAAAAATTATAAATTTGATCACTTGAGGATCATAAAGCATTCAGTAATAGAAATGTTTAGTAATTCTCATAAAATTAATTTTATTTTTAATCACAGAAGATTATTAAACAATTAATAAACAACACTGAACATATTTCTTCCAATAACACTATTTTAGGGCATCAATTATGGTTATGTTTATGAAAAATTCCAAAAATAATTAAATATCTCCTTAGAAATATTTCTTACTCATAAAATATAATTCTGTGTACAAATGCACCATAATTAATTCTAATATAAGTCTTGAATTAAATAGAATTAGCATAATAATATAAATTACAACAACTATCAAATCATTTAACATGAGCCAAAACAATCAAATACCATGACTAGCCCCCTTCCCTTTCAAAAATTTCTTTTTCATACATATTAGGTAAGAATCTGACATGACAGTGCTAATTTTAATCACCCTTTTACAGGCTGTTCATACAGACTAGAAAAAATTCTCATTTATAAATGAAAGACACATTTTTTATTATAGAAATCAAGTTTCAGCTAGCTATAAAACAGACAGTGCACAAAAATTCAGAAAAAGTTTTTTTTTTTTACTTTCCTAAAAGAATATAAGTATGCATAACATATAATATTAATAAGAAATTCATTTGCTATAATTCATAAAACTTTCACATTCCCAATTAATTGGAAACACTGGCCAGTAACTACCATTTTGTAAAAGGAGGACATGCCCTTATTACAAGTTTTCACCGAAAATAAATTTTTTTTCTTGTAAAGGGAAAATCCCCTTATTATGTGAAAGGGAATCTTGTTCAGATTTCATGGTGAAAGGTGCTAAATGTTTCTTAGTAGTTTTTATCATAACACAAAGGAACAATTTAAAACTGTAGAGGCAACTGTTGAACATCTGATGACATTTATGAATTCTGATATATCAGATATTTCTGATGAATATTTAACAAGAATACAAACTAGTTTCTTTCAGAAAGTCCTCCATGAAGGCATCTCTAGTCTTAGAAGGGCAGACCCGTGGCTTTACCCAATTCAAATAACCTAACACGATGATGAACTTGAAATACCTCAATTTCTATCTGATGAGACTCACATGTCTAACGAAGAGGTGCTGAAGATAATACTCTTAGTTATGTTGTTCTTTCTGATTGTGGACATGTTAATATTATTAATGGATTGTCAATTGGCTAAAACATTTTTGAAGAACAAGTTACACAGCAAACTTCAAATAAACAACAAAAGAAATGAAAAACAATATACAATTCTTCTAAAGTAAAGCCTATTACTAGTTGCCACTAACCTTATGTCAACTATTATTAACCCTTTTCAAGAAGAATTTTTTTTTTACTTCTTATCATTTGATGAAAGGATTTGCAAATCCTGATATAAAGATACAGAAACTATCCCAGGACACTGAATCCAAAACTGTCTACTGATGTCTTCTAAAGAAATAAAAAAAAGGGGGGTACATTTGATTATCATTACGACAGATCAATATTTATGTGCCAATGGAATTATTAATTCTGTAGTCACTGCTTCTTCAAATTATTGCTTTCATCTTCTAGACCACTTAATAAAAAGATATTCACATCCCCCCCAAAAAAGGGGGGAAAAGTGGATAAGCAACAACCAAATTTGATTCATAAATATAATTCTGGAATAGGTAGAGTTTACCTTTTTTTTACCCCCCCTTCCAATCAGAAGGGTGGCCAATCCACTGGAATGTTAGAATAGTAATGGAGAAACCCCACTGTTATAATTATCTTTTGCAAAATACCTAGAGTGAGCACACATGCTTAGAACAGAGTACTTGTGAAGTACACATGTATTTGACGATAGAAATTACCTGTTACAAAAAAAGTTAAGTAACTGCTGTCCCCAACTTCACAATAAGAAATGGTAGTGACATTTATTTGTAAATTCATTAAATATGGATACCATGTCTGCAGGGCTTTTAGATGCAGGAACTCGCTGAAAAAATAACTATCTCACTCATTTGAAGCTTCTTCAGTAAGTTACAATTGCTCTTTTATGATTGTAGCAAGAAAGGATAGGCCTTAACCAGGGCCAAAAGTTCCCCAATCTATATCACAGCAGAAGAATGCTGGTCTTTACTTTATGGCAACAATTCAAAGTAGATGTGCACAGTATGGAATAAATGTAAGATTGGAATGCAATGAGTTCATTGCTTTCCATGGAATATAAGTAAAATTTTTTGCAGGTTCTGTACAAAAAAAAAAAAAAAAAAAAAAGGGGGGGGCGGGAATTGTTTTATTTAAATTTATAAATTTCATCTAAATTCATATCTGTGCTTAAAAATAAATCTTTCATAATTTCTTACTTCTTTGCTTATTACTTAGTCTACTCATCATCACTGTCTATTTTTAAAACCAGCATAGCATAGTGAATTCAATCAGAAGTGCTCAATGTTCCCAATTGGGATTATCAAAATTTTTTTCTTCCCAATTTAATGACTGATATCTTTAAGCTAAGTGAAACACGCAAAAAGGAAAAATAAACCTGGATCTCAATTCAGACTTTAAAAGGTTAATAAATCTTCCATACCACCTTTGCACCTTAGCCACAGCACAGTTTAGTTGCTAACACTGAAACTGTAGACACAATAATCTTACAGATACAAATGACAAGATATTTAGAGATGGTCATCATTCTCTCTCTTTCCTCCCACTGAAGGACACACCTTTCATTACTGAATTTTAAATGATTCAACACATCCTTTATTACTGTTCCCCTCTTTTATTGCTTTAAGCACTCACTCTTTTTCCAGTACTGGAGGATGAAACTACATTGTATGCATAGTATTCCTGTTCATTCACATTACTTTATCCATATATTTCTCATCTCCTTATTTCTTTCATTGTAATTTTTAGTTTCACGAGACGTGTGGGACAATTTAATGTTTCTCTGAAGATGTGAAAGCACTCAAAGTATCTATCTGTATAAATTAATGGCAACTGTTCATTTTGTATCATTTCAGGATATGAAAAGTTCCCATTTACTCTTGCAAAGCAGAGGAAACTTGTACAACAAAATCTACAATGATAATTTATGGTTCCAGATAATTTTGATCTATATCATTTGTTCTTTGTACTTTACTTTATATATATATATATATGTATATATGTATATTTAAAGAAATACTGGTCACTTTTAAGGATGGTTATCTACAATACGCAGTTATTCACAGCATGTTCTAACGCCAGAAATAAAAAGAATAATTAAATGAAAAGTTCAAAGCATACATAATTTTTATTTTAATAACTTGTTTACATAAAATAATTTACTATAAAAAGTTAGCTATAAATATGATTTGGTGAGTACAGAAATTTACTATTGTATCATAAATATGTTATTAATTTTGATTTTTCAAATCTGAATTTTATTTCAATATACATTTAATCTAAGCCATCTAACTGTTTTGAAGAATTATTATTCGTTAACCCTCTCAGCATTATGCACACAAAATTCCATACAGAACTTTCTTACTCATTACATAGAAAAATTCTTGCCAGGTTTTAATGTATCCAATTTCAGATCGGAAGTATATTACAATAAAATAGATCAAGGCACAATGTGAGAGAGTTGTTTTTTAATTATAGTCAAGAAAATACGATTTATTCATGATATTTTGAGGAACTTTAAAATTTCATGGCTAGAACCATAAAGCTTGGAAAGTTAAGGCATCCTCTTTCACTGGGTATCGAATACGTGTGTGTGATTATGGCAAAGCCTCGAGAGCTATCTGCCTAAGGAGAGGGATGCCTTCGTGGAGGACTATCTAAGGGATTGGATTATATTACAGTCAAAAGTCGTTAATAGGGACTTCGGCGATTCCAGATTATAAGTCATCAGTTTAAATCTGGTAAGATGGCATGCACAAATTATAAAATTAAAAATATGAAACCGTAATTTATCAAATAAAGAACAATTATGATCTAAAGGGTATCAAAATTTACAAAAAAAAAAAAAAAAAAAAAAAAAAAGCTTAATATTTATTTGTTTACTTTATTAAACATTTCTTTCAATGTAAGTTGTTTAAGTTGCTTCGTTTTTTATGTGGTAATACATTCTCTTTAATTCTTTAAACAGACATAATTTCTTGTTCAGTTACAAAGTTTCGCTGTTCAAGTCCTATAATTGCAGTGTCGAGAATACCGAGTAATTTGTCAATTGAAATTTTTTCGTTTTCAATAACCTCTGTCACTTTCTTCGCTATCGGAAGCAAATTATAATGACGAGGAACTTGTTTTAAATCATATCAAAGACGGAGTACATCGAGATGAAATACTACATTTAATAAGGAATTATAAGCCAAATAAAATAAACACATCTGCCCTGAAGATAAGGATAGTGCTGACAGATCAACTTCCAATTCATTGCGCAGCGTTAAAGATAAACAAAGTTTAGATAAACAAATGTTAAAGTTTAGATAAACAAAGAATATGCCTTTATC